CTTTCACGGCTCATTCGAGAGTGCAGAACCATACAAGTTCCGAAGAACAACGAATGGACATTCATTGCATCTTTAGTATGAGTGAAAGGGTGTCCAACATTATATTGTAGGTAGTGTATAATCCGAAGATCGAAGATCGCAGACTTGTATAATCGGAAGATCGCAGACCCCAACTAGAATCCTCTAACCCCCATACTAGAATCCTCTGACTCCCTATACTATATTCGGCAGACCCAACTATAATCCGCAAACGCCCTATACTAGAATCCGCAAACCCAACTGGAACCTGCAGACCCCCTATGCTAGAATCCGGAGACCCCCTATACTAGAATCAGTAGTATATGTGTTTTCTGATATAGCGCATCCAGTTTGATCCGGTTTTTGAGATGATAGGTATATGTCTTTTCGGATATGACGCATTTCACTTCTGTGCATGCGCGGCTTTTTCAATTCGTCATATCCGAAAAGACACAACTGTTAAAATGTATTATAACAGACTTCCCCAAACTGTTAAAAAATGTATTATAACAGACGCCCAAAACTGTTAAAAATGTATTATAACAGACTCCCCAAACTGTATTATAACAGACTCCATATAAATTACCCCAAACCACAGACAAGAATCACTAATAATAATACAGTATAAAACAACCGCATTAAAAATGTCTTTAATTTTAAAACATGAAAAAAAAAATTCGAAGGAGACGGTTTCTTCTCTGCGCTAACATCTCTCATCCCCAAAGTGGCCAATTTTGTCTCAAACAACAAATCCCTCATTTCCTCAGGGGCGCAAGCTCTTGGATCTGAGGCAAAAGCAGGAGTAAATATTAGCGATGCAGTGAAAAAATCTGACGAACTTAAAGAACTGCAGCTAATAAGAGAACTAAGAAACAAGAGACTAGAACGACAAGCCCTAGAAAAACAAGGAAAAGGGTTTAAAATCATTGGATAAAAATGGCAAGCAAAAATTACAGATTGGATCCAATCTTTCAATTGTATGATCCGATTCAATATTCGTTCAACAAGAAGAAAGAGGATTACGTAATCATCTCACCATCGGTAGGGACAAAGACCCAAATAAACGACGGAGGAAGAGTTACCTTTGAAATTAATTCGTTGTCCAATTGGTTGCTGCTTTCCGATGCCCATTTCCGATGCGATTTCAAAATCAAAGACGCCGCTCAGAATTGAATTCCACAAACCAACACGACTTTAGAAAACTTCTTTCCGTCTTTATTCAGCGAAATGGTTTTGGAAGCTGGTTCAAATCCGATAGAGACCATAAAACACCCCGGAGAGTTTGACACAATGTTGAAAATGGTTCTGTATCCCAAAAACTACGATGGAAATAACGAATATCCAACTTCACATACCGGTAATCACTCCTTCCGTAGAAGTGGAAACGAGAATATTCAACTCTTTAACCAAAGACATCGAAATTTCTTTTCTTCGTCGTAACACGGTAGGTAGCATGACTTTAACGGGAGAATCCACCACGTGGCCAATCACCAACACCGTCAAACCAGTGAGATATCTAATGGTCGGTTTCAAAAACTTGCCAGACTCTCAGACACACAACAACAACATTTTCAGAGTGGCATTGAACCATACTCAAGATCCCATCATTCGCAAAGTTCAAGTCAGATTGAACAACGATAATTATCCCAATCAACCTTTGACAATTGATCCTTCCAAAAAAGATTACAACGAATTGTACAGAAACTATAAAAACATGTGCGAATTGTTTGGAAATACGCCTCAGTTTGAATACACAGATTTTTCACTCAATCATCCAATCTTTTGTTTCGATCTGTCAGCTCATCAAGAAGATCTTTTCAAAACAGGGGTAAACATAAATATTCACATCGATAAAACACAAGGAGATGTGACCGGCTACTGTTTATTGCTGGAAGAAGCAAAACATTGGATTAAAATATCAGATAGAAGAATGATAAGAATTAAATAAAAAAAACACCCTTTAGAAATGAAACCAGAAACTTTAGTTATGAAAATAATAGAAGCTATGGAAACGAAGCTGACTCTAATAACTTACAACGGTAAAAAAGTGCATATAACCCAAAAGATTATCGATAAATACAAACATTGCAAAGTCAGAGACGATATAGACTTGGAAAGAATTGATGAGAATTTAACTAAAAAAGGTGGATTTTTACCTTTCTTACCTTTAATCTTTGCTGGTTTAGCTGCAGCTGGTGCAACTGCTGGTGGAGCTGCTGGGATAGCCAAAGCTGTCAACGATAAGAAAGCTGAAGCCGCTGCAAACGCTGAAGTGCGTAGACACAATTTGGCAATGGAAAGAGAAGCACGAGGAGGTTCGGGAGTAGGAGATATATTAGGGACGGTTAAAGAATTCGGACAAAGATTTGGCGAAGAAACCAAGAAAACCGTTAAAGAGAGATTAAGCAAATTAATAGATAAAATCGACACTGGAGAAATGAAGGTCAAACACAAGGGCAACGCCATATTTTTTAAAAACATACGTTCGGGCGAGGGAATCTTCCTTTCAAAGTATAAAGGCAATGGAGTGATTTTTGGTCCGAAAATGTAATAAATAAAAATGGGCAAGAAATTCAAACATTCGGACATATTTCCTAGTAACCCAATGCTCATGTGTATTTGCGGTAGTTCAGGTTCTGGGAAAACTCATCTCACTTTTAACATGTTGACAACACCAAACCTTTTAGATTTCGATTCTATGTATATCTATACAACAACACCAGAGCAATCGTATTATCAATTCCTCAAAGCTTTAGAATATTTACCAAAGAAAGACGTTCAAGACATATTTCAATATTACGAAGAAAACGAAGAAGAAGTGGAAATAAAAGATATCATAGAAAACTTCATTAAATCAAAGAATCCATCTTTCAATCCAACGGATATAAAAGTTTTTCTTACAAAAAAATGTTAATGATCTAGGCTTGTCTAATATTGATAACAATCGAAAGAACTTAATATTGTTTGACGACTGCATAGCGCAAAGAAATCAAACTGTACAACAAGAATTCTTCACCAAAGGAAGACAACTGTCACTGTCACAACTGTCACTGCATATACCAATCCCAATCTTTTTACGGGATGGATTCTATGTTCATTAGAAAAAATGCAAATTGTTTTTTGCTGTTTGAACTAAACGACAAAGATTTATCTCAAATCATTCAGTCTATAAATCACGGAATGGATAGAGATACATTTAAAAAGGTTTGTAAAGCTCAATGGAGAAACCCAGATGGTCATGGATATGTATTTGTAAATACTAGAAAACCTGCGGGAGAAAGAGTTATGATCGATATAATATGTTAATTTCATTTTTTTAAAAATGACGGATTGGAATAATTTTTTAAAAAGAAATAGAGAATATATCAAAGCTAAGAATAAAATAAAGACCCAAGTTGAAAATAACAGATTACAACAACTCGGATTAACGGAAAATCTACAGACTCTATTTCAACCCATATTAAAAAGTCAAGAAGATATTAAAAAGAGACTCGCTATAGAACCCACGCCTCGTATAGAACCCATAGCGATTGAATATAATGGTATTATAATTAGGACATTAGATGATATAAAACGTCTTTTTTCAAACCCTAGCACAGAACTACCAAAGAGTATTTCACCAATCATTTATGATGAGGGTTTGTTGTTTAATGGTTTTAGAATAAGATTTAGTGGAAATTCACCACAATTCAAAATCGACACAAAAGACTTTATACTTTACACTAACGAGAGGGTTAATAGATTTAATGAATGGCGAGGATGTTGAAATTGCCGATTACAAGGATTTAGTTGCATACTCAAAATTTCTACATGCGATCAGAAAGTCAGGACCCGAAACAAGAAGATTGAAAGAAGTTGATTTATATATAACAAAAGTTATTGAGCAAGAGGAGGTAGATGATTATGCAGAAGAGTATCCACCAATCATACAAGACATAGACGAATTCGATGATATGGTGGCATCTGGACAAGGTATAACGTTTTTATCCGACAACAATAAAGAATTGCTTAATAGATTAGAAATAATATTAGCGGCCATGAAGGAGGTCATCGATCGGACAGACAATACAACAAAGTCAATGGCATATTAAAACGGCTTTTGGAGAAAAAAATCATCACTAAAAAAGACTATATAAACGTCATTAAAAACCATAAGCTTACTACCGGGAAGCTACGAATACGTAGCCATCAACGATTACCTATCCGAATACGCAGGAAGCATGAACGGCAAAAACAATATCGAATTCAAAGGTAATTTGAATCTGAACAAAATAAAACTGATCATGAGAAATAACAGTCAAGTCGATTTCAACGTAGAAAATTCGTTGAATGCGTTACTAGGGTTCGATAAACGAATATACGCGCAATCGACATTGGCGCCGCACAAGGCCAACATCGAGAACGACATCGACGTGATCAACATTCACTGTAATTTGATCAACGGTGGATTTTTCAACAAGCACAAACGCCAAATCATATACAGCATACCGACTTTTACGGTGCCGATCGGATACAGAATTATAGAGAAACCGTTTCAAACGACCTATTTACCAGTCAATTCTTTCATGATCAAAGATATAAATCTGGAAATCAAAGACGGTAAAAACAGGTTCATAGACTTTGGCAACGAAGAAATTGTCATTCAACTTCATTTAAAACAATCTTCATTCTCTTCTTGAATAGTAAGATAATCGAAATCATCAAATTCATAGTTTTCGTCAAAACTCTACTCATCTTTGTCGTTGTAAGGATACATAATTCCTTCACTGTTTGGTGGTTTTCTTTTAACATTATTCAAATAACTTCTAAAAACTTTAGTTTGTTTATCATTTGGAATAACTACTCCATTGGTGAAACTTTTTTTCCATGGTTTATTAAATTCGTTCGACACATCATGTCCGCTTGCTAACTGAACGTAATCTTCTACACTTATCTTATCATTAGAATAACCTTTAAACGTTTTCTTTTCTTTTAAAACACCATCAGAAGTCAAAACGATGTTGTATTTGACCTTTGGTGTATAAACCAAATATAATTCCACCGTCACCGTAATCGTTTTTACCTTTGCAATAGTCTTTTTCGGAGACCAAACCAGCTCTGTTTAGTTTTTTCCAATTGTTGGATGAAATGTACAAACTATCGGTGTCGGTATAGTATATTTCGGGTTTATAAAATCCATTTATGACGTGAATGAAATTGTTCATTATTTTTTTACTGTGAGATAAAACGAATGATCCCAAATGACTAGGTGTTAGTCGTGTAGATTTACTATCTTCGGTAGTAATCTCTTTTTCTTCAATTTCTGTTTCAACAATATATTGAGTATCATTAATTTTCTCATAGGTTTTAACGCGTGAATCAAAGTTGGCCTGTAAAGTTGCTTCATTCCATAAATGTCTAGTTGTGAATATATCTTTCTGAATTGATTTACCATACAAGGAATTACCTAATAATTTCATGCAATTACTACCCACGATATTACCTTCTCGTTTATATTTATTTCTTAAATCTCTCAAAATTAAAATATAATCTCTATAGGGTGGAGTTTTAAAATTTTCTTCGTAAACTATACCATCTAATATTCTAATAATTCGTCCACCGGCTTTCACTATTTCTTGAATATCGACCGATGTTAAAACGTCGTGACAGAAACCATTTCCGAACCTGATTTTGTTACCAGTTTCCTTTTTACCTTCTTTATTCGTGAAAGTGATTTTATCTTTAGCTGGTATCGGTTGGAAGAACATGTTTTTGGGAGTCAAACCACACTGTTAAAATAGCTGTTCTAGGTCTGAATTTTTGTTTATTGAGGATTTTTACAAATTCTTTTTCTTCTTCTGGTAGAAACGGTCTTCCACTTTCCGCTCTCGGATATTCACTGTCTAAATCCGACATGGCGGAAGCGTATAAACCGTTAGCATCAAATGCTATTAGTTTAGTACATTCTATTTTTTTATGTCTCGAATGAACCTCCGTTTTGTCTTTTGTGCTTGCACTGTATTCTTTGAATAAATCAATTATGTTATTACTTTCTGTTTGTGAAATATATTCCTTTAATACGTTACAAATTTCACCCATTTTGTTCGTTTCAAATGATTTTCTATTTGCCGAAACTCTTCCTCCTTTAATAGATCGTCTGATAAAATTTCTTATAAAAGGATTAGTGTGCGAATAAACTTTTTCTACGTTTTCTTTTTCGGTATGTTTCGCGACCATTCTAGTAGTTTCATACCATTCTTCTTCCACCATTTCTTTATCGTAATGATATAAATAAT